TCTGTATGCTATTGGCATCCAGTACAGTGTCCTCAGCACAGGCTGGATGTACTCCCATCTAGGGAGACCCATCAACAGCCTGGCTGCGGCGTTCTGCACTAGCTGCAGCTTCCGGATCCGCGACAAAGGCAGCCCCATGTAGAGAGTGTTACAGTAGTCTAGTCTTGAGGTGACCATCGCGTGGATCACTGTAGCCAAGTCAGCGCGGTCGAGGAAGGGAACCAACTGCTTAATCAACCTAAGATGATAAAAAGCCGACTTGGCAGTGGCCGCTACCTGCGCCTCCATGGCAAGGGAGGGATCCAGGAGCACTCCCAAGCTCTGAACCTCTGGTGCTGGGACTAATAAAGCCTCCCCAAAGGTCGGGAATGGGACCCCCGAACCACCCTAACCTAGGCACAGGACCTCCGTCTTCGCTGGATTCAGTTATTATGTATTTATTTAAAACATTTATTCCACTTCTGGAGAAAATGACTGCTTTGCAAGGTGAACTGTATGGCATTATACACTGTCAAGGACTCTCCGCTTCCTAAACCCCATACCCCCCGTCTCCCCTTTCAAATCGCCAGGTATCCCACTCGTGGGATAGGGAGGGGAATAAATTAAATAAAACAACAACAACAACAACAACAACAATATTATTTCTGAACCTGGAGTTAGCAACTCTAGCCCAACTATGGTAAATAAACACTGAGGAGAGATTCTTGCTTTATTTCCTCAGAAAGTTTACCTCAGGTTAGGAGGTTTACTGAACCTGGTTACCAAAACACAGGTTCCCTCAAAGGTGGAGGTTTCTCCTTTCACCTCACAGTCCCTGGCTCTGAGAAACTGCCCACGTAGATTTGATGCTTCTGGCTTTTACCTAAAAATCACCTTTCTCCTCTAAACCTAAAAATCACCTAAAAAAACCTTTCTCCTCTAAACCTACCCAACTCTGTCAAAAAACCCAAATAATAATCCTGGCTAATCTGATGTTTCTAATCAGAGCCTCTAAACCCCTATAGGAGGAAAGGAGTTTTTTCCTCCTCCCCTTTTAAAGCACTTGCTTCCCCTTCCTGTCCAGTGGAGGTTGATGGATTATGACTGGCGGATAATTACTTGGATTTGTTTGAGGCAGTAATCCCAGGGATTGGTTCAGAGTCCTGGGGAAGAGGCGGGACTTTGCAAGATGATTACCACAGGATTCTCTGAACATTGGCTGCTATGCTTTTTGGTGTTTTACCAAGAGAATCCAGGCTATGGAATAACAGAGATATTTGTATTTGAAGTTCTGTTTTGCTTTGCCCCTAGTGAAAGAACAGCTGCCTCGCGTGCAGCTACACTGTTGATCCTGCACCACCAGTTTAACCAATGCATATGATGTGGTGTGGTGACTGTTCACTTAAAGGCTTCATTGAGGGTGGCATTGCTTTTTTTTTTTTAATCAGGGGAGCTCTAAGATGCTGCTTACTGGCAGTGAATGGTGCCTTTTAAAGCGTATTTTTCATCATTTAATTCTGAAAATGCTCCCAGTCAGCATTTTAGCGCTTAGGATCAGGGGTCATTTCCTGCAGGAGCGCACAGGAGCAGAGCTCCGGCAGTAAAGAGCCCAGGGGGCGGGCACATGCAACAAGCCCCACCCCCTGCTCCCAGCAACCCTCAGTCAGAGCAAAAAGCAGCCAGATAAGTTGCAGAGCCTCCCCCTGGCCCCCCGGTCCAAAACAGTCCAGTGGCACCTTTAAGACCAGGTTTTATTCAGGTACAAGCTCTCCCTCCTCTGTGAGGACAGATCTGCACATCCCCCCCCCAACAGCTAGCAGTCCAGTAGAGCCTGAGCGGTGGGTGTTGCCTTCTGACACACTTCCAGTGATGTCAGTGGGTGTGGCATATGCAAATAAGTTATGCTAATGAGGTATGCTAATGAGCTCCTGCACCTCTTTTTCTACAAAATGACCCCTGTTTAGGATTATTATACTCCTGAAGAAAGATGTAGTCTGTTTAGCTGCCACTTACGGCAACCCCTTTAACCTATCACTTTACTGCCAACAGCAGTGCGGTGCAGTGATTAGAACAATGCTCTCTGAGTCTAGGGAGACAAAAGTTCAAACCCTGGCTGAGCTATGATGTGTATTGGGTGACTTCTAGGGTTTTCCCTTCCCCATTTTTTCCTCACAACAACATCCCTGTGAGTCAGGCTAGGCTGAGAGAGTGTGATTGACTCAAGCCCACCCAGTGTCAGGGTCCTTAGGCAGGTCACACCACACAGGGCTTCAGAAGAAGATAACTGCTTTATTACTGATTCCAGTACTAAAGAACACGTATACAGCTTGTGTCAGGAATGGCCGTCAGTATAAGGGCCTCTGATTTATAGTGAAATCAAACATTCCCCCCATTGAGCTGAAGCCAATGATTATAGTTTGTGCGTGGGGGCAAAAGCAAGCAAGCGGGCACAGCGAAAAGCCGTTACTTTTCCAGCAGAGTAAATGCAGCTGGAGAATACAAGGTCAAGCCAGAGATAGCGTACAGTAGCTGGACAGGGAAGAGCTGAGAATGAGGTCGAGGGCACCCCTCCACATTCCAGATCCATGACAGGGCTACCTGACACCCAGCAAGCATCGCTGCAGATTGGGGATTTGAACCTAGGTCTCTGAGATCTAGGCCCAATGCATCATTCTGGCTCTTTTAGATGATCACGCACATGGTACTCACTGCAGCCATGGCTTCCGAAGAGAATTCCCTCCTGTGGGTGAGGGAAGGGAGAATGCCTCTTACCTACCATTTTGTAAGTGCATGTGTTTCAAATAACTAAAAATGTTTAAAAATCTCCTGCTCAGCCCTGACCTGGATAGCCCAGGCAAGCCCGATCTTGTCAGATCTTGGGAGCTAAGCAGGGCTGACCCTGGGAAGTACTTGGATGGGAGACCTCCTTGGGATACCAGAGGCAGGAGGTGGGGGTAGGTTCAGCCACCTCTCTGAATATCCTCCAGGCCCCCAATAGGGGTCAGTCACCAGAAGTTGCCATGACTTCCAGGTGCGCACACAGTCAGTCACTAGAGGTCGCCATGACTTCCAGGTGCGCACATGCACATGCGCGCACACACACACACACACACAAAATACCAAAAAAATCTGCTCAATTTATTAGGGACATTGTGTTATTTGAAAGCAAGGTTTTAAAATTACTGATTGAACTGATTAATTATCTTGTAGCAAACTGTGTTTTAACTTGGCAAAGTCCCAGCAAACATTCTATGAGCCCTGGGTTTGTTTTTTCTTCCCCTAAAGGTAAAGGTAAAGGTTCCCTTGCTCGAAAGCCAGTCGAGTCCAACTCTAGGGTTGCGGTGCTCATCTCCATTTCAAAGCCGAAGAGCCAGCGCTGTCCGAAGACATTTCCGTGGTCATGTGGCCGGCATGACTAAACACCAAGGCGCATGGAACGCTGTTATCTTCCCACTGAAGTGGTACCTATTGGTGTAGTGGTTAAGTGTGCGGACTCTAATCTGGGAGAACCGGGTTTGATTCCCCACTCCTCCACTTGCACCTGCTGATGTGACCTTGGGTCAGTCACAAGCTCTGGCACAGCTGTCCTTGAAAAAGAGCACTTTGTGTCAGAGTTCTCTCAGCCCCACCCACCTCACAGGGTGTCTGTTGTGGGGAGGAGAAGGGTAAGGAGTCTGTAAGCCGCTCTGAGACTCCAAGTGAAGGGCGGGGTATAAATCCAATCTCTTCTTCTTCTTCTTCTACTTGCAATTTCTTGCTTTCGAACTGCTAGGTTGGCAGGAGCTGGAACTAGAGACGGGAGCTCACTCCGTCTTGCGGCACACCCGGGTCTCGAACTGCTGAACTACCGACCTTCCACAGCCTGCAGTTCAGCGTCTTAACCACTTGAGCCTCCGCAGCTCCATTTTCTTCCCCTACAGATGTGTTAAACTTGCAGTGCTACTGTACGTTTCTGCAGTAGCCTGTACCCTTACCCGGGGCTTACCTTTAACCATCAGGCTACAGCGCAGGACCTACGGAGCTGCCCCACATTAGAGGGGTCTTTGTTCTACCTATGCTAAATTGGGGTCTTCTCCCCCACCGAGGGACCCCCACCCTGTGCCATCCAGCCGCTTCTTTCACTGTGCATAAAAAGAGGGACAGGAGGTGTGGCGTCCCTGCTGTCTATCCGCACACACCAGCTGCAAAAATATGGCAGCTGCATAAGGACTCACGACTCCAGCAAGTGGGGCTCTGCGGCCCACCTGAGGGTGGTGACCCACAGGCAGAAGAACACCGCCCCAAAATAGATTCAGCCGTCAATAACAGGCATACGGTTATATGGGATTTTCTATATTTGTTATTTCGTTGCTATAAATCATTTTAAATGGTTTTCTGGCTATTTTAAATTCATATAAAATGTTGAGAAAATTTGTTTACACAACTTTCTCCATAATACCTTTCAGACTGAGAATAGCGAATAATGTATTTTAGGGGGAAAGTGCTATTGGTAATGCTATAACATTATAATGATTTACCAAGACTTATTAATTCATTCACGTTTATAGTCTTTAAAACATGTACAAAAGTGCCTTACATATACTTTTCTTTCCCTCTCACACCCCTTTTCTTTTTCTGTACCCCATATAGGAGAGTCAGCTTGGTGTAGTGGTTTAGAGCGTGGACTCTAATCTGGGAGGACCGGATTTGATTCCCCACTCCTCCACATGGCAGCTGCTGGTGTGACCTTGGGTCAGTCACAAGTTCTTTCAGAGCTGTTCTCTCAAGGGCAGTCCTCAAGAGAGCTCTCTCAGCCCCACCTACCTCACAGGGTGCCTGTTGTGGGGAGAGGAAGAGAAAGGAGATTGTAAGCTGCTCTGAGACTCCTTTGGGTAGTGAAGGCTGGGGTATAAATCCAATGCCTTCTTCTATATATGCGTATGTGTGTGTGTGTGTATAAATATATATAAATAACAGGCACGCAGAATCTTATGCATGTGTCTGGTACAAAGTGGCGGAAGGATGAAACACTTGCCACTTACCCCAAGGAGTTGTGGCTGGTGCAGAGGTGCAAAGGCACTTGACCATCATCGTTCAGGATGTTGGGGTTGGCCTTGTGCTCCAGCAGAAGCTCCACACAGTCCACGTGTCCTCCTTTGCAGGCTTCGTGTAGCGCCCCCTGTCCCCCTGGGGCTGCGTTGGGGTCCGCCCGCCAGAACAGCAGGTGACGAAGGCAGGCAGTATGTCCATGGCTGGCTGAGATGCAGAGGGGATTGGTGAGTTCCCGCTTGTATTCTAGGGACCACAGGCCTAGAAGAAGAAGAAGGAATTGGATTTATACCCCTTTTCACTCTCAAGAAGAAGAAGAAGAAGAAGAAGAAGAAAAAATTGGATTTATACCCCCTTTCACTCTCAGAGTGGCTTACAATCTCCTTTCCCTTCCCCTCCCCACAACAGATACCCTGTAAGGCAGGCAGGGCTGAGAGAGCTCTTTCGAGGACTGCTCTTGAGAGAACAGCTCTAAGAGAACTTGTGACTGACACAGGGGCACACCAAGAGCTGCATGTGGAGGAGTGGGGAATCAAACCCGGTTCTCCCAGATTAGAGTCCATGCACTTAACCACTACACCAAACTGACAGGCAGGGGTTTGATGTGGGAGGAGGGAGGAGGGTGGGGGAAGGAGAGAACACAATGCATTATGCGAAGAGTTGACACATGACACACATGGACCTGCCTTATACTGAATCAGCTAAGACTAGCAAATACTGTGACAATATGTGCAGAATATATCAATAACATATATTTAAATGTAATTTAAGCAGACAGTTGTCTTGAAGAACAATGACAAAGAAAGGTTTTTCTTAACAATGCTAAGAACAAACAAAACTTGCAACTCAAGAACAGTTATGCACATAAGCCTTTGGACGTCTAAGTGTGCAATAGTACAAACTTCTCAATTAAAAAAGTCCCAAGACTTGCTTAAACATATATAAAAAATTAAACCATTAATGTTGAACAGAATTACTTTGACAAAGATTCTGGATGTTTTCTCTTCATTTCGAAGTATTCCTTCTTCAAAAACAACAGTTCTTAACAAACACAAAATATAATTAATAATAATTCAATAAAATTACAGTTTCCATTAGTATTGCCAACGTGACCCAAAAAAGCCTACCTCTCTTGCATGAAGCTATGAAATTGGCATACATTATTCAATCCTTTTAGTATAGGAACCCTAAAAATGAAAAAAAAGAGTAAATAGCTACAAGGAATATATGCATAAAAATAGGTAATGTCTCCCCGTAGAGATAGCTTACCACGCAGATGAGGGGCTAATGTTCTAGTCTAAAGCCAAGTCAATCAGATCACTTTGCAGATGATGGTGCACCTAATGTGGTGAGTGGGAGGAAGATAAACCTCCAGCTGAAACAAGGCAGCTGTGTTACTCAGTGGAATATTCTGTGCATATTGTCACGGTATTTGCTAGTCATAGCAGTCTATCATGCCATAGAGTCCACCTTCCAAAGCAGCCATTTTCTCCATAGGGACTGATCTCTTTCCTGGAGATCTGTTGTAAGTCTGGGAGATTTTCAGCCACCAGCTAGAGACTGGCAACCAGTGTTCCCTCTGAGCTGAGTTAGTGTGAGCTAGCTCACAGTTTTTTAGCCTCTGGCTCACACAGGAAGGAGGGCTCCAGAGCAGACTAATTTATGCAGGAGCCAAATCGCTCACTCACGATGTTAATGCCAGTAGCTCGCAAAGTAGAATTTTGGCTCACCAGATCCCACAACTTAGAGCAGTGATGGCGAACCTTTTAGAGACCGAGTGCCCAAACTGCGACCCAAAACCCAACACGGCAATTTAACCTGGATACTGAGGTTTTACTTTAGAAAGAACAATTCATACATTAACTTAAGATGATCCAAACAAAGTAAGGAAAGCAATCCCAAATGCTTTCATTTACTTAAAATTATTTGGCAGAGAATTTGACACTTTAATGATGGTCTGGGCCTGGCTGGGGCGATGGCACGCGTGCCCACAGAGAGGGCTCTGAGT